TAGTGGAGTGTAGTGTAGTGTAATGTGGTGTAGTGTAGTGTAATTTAGCGTAGTGGAGTGTAGTGGAGTGTAGTTGCAGTTGTAGTTGTAGTGGAGTGTAGTGTAGTGTAATGTAGTGAAGTGTAGTGAAAGGTAGTGTAGTGGAGTGTAGTGTAATGTAGTGTAGTGTAATGTAGTGTAGTGTAGTGGAGTGTAGTGTAGTGTAATGTAGTGTAGTGTAGTGTGGTGTAGTGGAGTGTAGTGGAGTGTAGTGGAGTGTAGTGGAGTGTAGTGGAGTGTAGTTGTAGTTGTAGTGTTGTGGAGTGGAGTGTAGCGTAGTGTAAGGTAGTGAAGTGTAGTGGGAGTAGTGTAGTGTAGTGTAATGTAGTGTAATGGAGTGTAGTGTAGTGTAATGTAGTGTAATTGAGTGTAATTGAGTGCAGTGTAGTGGAGTGTAGTGTAGTGGAATGTAGTGAAGGTCTATTTGTAGTTGTAGTTGTTTTGTAGTCTAGTGTATTGGAGTGTAGTGTGATGTAGTGGTGGTTGTAGTTGAAAATGCCACAAAACCCTCACGTTTTTGCTCACTTTTGACAAGGTGCACAATCCCTTGCGCCTGCCACGCGAAGCGACATCTGAACCTCCAAAAGTGGTCCGAACACCTTGTGTTTTTAACATTTTGACTTGGAAATGTGCTTCACGCCACAACGGCGTGCACTTTTTCGACATCTGAACTGCCAAAAGTGGTCCGAAGCTGGTGTGCTTTGTACATTTTGACTTGGACATGTGCTTCGCGCCACAACGGCGTGCACTTTTTCGACATCTGAACTGCCAAAAGTGGTCCGAAGCTGGTGTGCTTTGTACATTTTGACTTGGAAATGTGCTTCGCGCCACAACGGCGTGCACTTTTTTCACATCTCAACTGCCAAAAGTGGTCCGATCATGGTGTGTTTTGTACATTTTCACTTCGAAATCTGCTTCGCGCCACAGCGCGTGCAAATTTTCATCTCTCATCTGGCCAGCTGGCTCCGCACCCGCCGCTTTAGCGAGCCTACTTTTCGACCCTCCGGAGCCTCAAATCATTGGAAAAACAAAATGTTTCGCGACTTTCCTACCTTTTCGCGCATCTGCATCTTCTTTCTTCTGATCTTCTCTCTTCTAATCTTTCTCTTCTCTCTGCCTCTTCCCTGCTCTGCTTTTCATCTGTCCATATTGTCGGAAGTTTGACTTCTAAACTTCCTTCGATAACATAGAATATAAGAATCCCATCAAAATTGTTTTTTGGATTTACCCAATTCTTCTCAGACACATCAGTATTCTGTTTTGTGTACGCTTGCCTTCTTTTGTCAAAGGAACTACCCTTTTTTGCTGGCTAAGAAGCTGTGCATTGCCCTAATTGGCTAAACCAGTCTTTGTCCACTTAGATCTCATTAAATTGCCATTTATCATAATTTTTCTATATAATTAAACTATATGTAATCCATTTGTTAGATACTATATATATATATAGATAACTACTAGATCCCCCTTTGATCATTTTTTTCAAGCCAAATCACATGACATCATGACATCTCCGCTTCAGTCGGAGAATGCGGCGAATGGCTTGGACGAAGCCACGCGGAAATATCTCCGAGCCAAGTGCCTTGGCTGCGAAGAATGCATGCTACATACAAGGTGGCGCCCCAGTTCGAGATCGCTAAAGTTGGTTTCTAGCCATTATCATTTGATATATATATATATATATATATATTATAAATATATATTTTTTAGATATATATAAGATACTCTGTATATACTGTGTATGTATATTTATCTATACATACACGCTATTTCAGCTAGGGTTTATAGTCGATCCATGCATACATATAGTCTATAGTTAGGTGGGCTTATAAAGTAACATAAAGCAACTTGTATCTTGGGGACCACATGTCGTGGGTATGACTGAACATTCAGGGAGAAAACCACGTTGAAAATTCCAAGAAATTAAAATAAACTCGAGGAAACATCATTTGGGGAAGTCTCCAGTTATTGGATACACTCATGTCAATTAAAGAGAGATATGAACATTGGTAAAATGATAACTTAAACAATTAAAAAAAACGAGTATATACACCATGATTTAAGACGTGTTAAAACCGTTGTTTTCTACCCTTGATGTTGCTGATTTAGTCCATGAACAAAGAAATTATAGCATGGAATGTGATCAATTGACCCAATTGCTGGGGCATCGGAAGTCGTCATTTCAAGCAGTCAGGAGGGTTCCTGACTTGAGTTTTGATCTTTATGAGTTTAGGCTCCCGAAAAAAAAAGGGGATACACCAATCTTGTGTTTAAACGAAAAACATGAGGTTTCAATAGGTTTCAATATTCTCCATCTTTGAATTTAGGAGTAATTTTATCCATTTTCAGGCAAACCCAATTGTTTTGTGCGCAAAGTGAAGGACAGTGGCAGGCTGATGGCCTTTGCCCTCAACGATGAGACGGGGTCACCGCGACAGCTTCCCACTCAGTTGAGCGATGGCTGGCGTTCGCCTCCACGCGGGCGCCCCGTGGGGCGCCACCCCACATGGAGTCATTGTGGTCTCCGGGCTCAATCCTGCCAAAGTGAGTGACTGGGCCCCCTGGGGACTACAAAGGCCTGTGGAAATACCAGCTCACCCAAATGCCAAGTGTCAGGTTTGCCAGTGACAAAGCTTGGGCATTGTGTTTGAAGTGTTGTGGCAGTGCTCTCTCAAGAGAAAAACTATGGGAAACGCTGGTGTTTTCCAGTGAACTCTGGGTGGTTTCGGATATTTTGCGATGATTGTGATGCCCAGGGGCCTGGCTCGATCGCCAACCAGATGGTTTTTGTCGAGTAGACCTTCTCCTTAAACGCAATTCTGGAACAACAATGACTTCACCACCTTTTTTTATAGTTCATTTCGAGTAAGCAATGTTTAACCCATTCAAAGCATCGGCCTTGGGCGGAAAGCGAGCCTTCCAGTTCGAACTCTATGGATCGATTTATGAGAATTGCAGGTATTTGCGATAAATTCAACAATTAGCCTACTGAAATCAACAGAGAGAAACATGTCTACAATGTGGGGCCTTCCAGTTAAAAGTTGCTTTATAAATCCATGCATAAACCAACCCGTGAATTTGGAGTGATCATCCCCAACCTTGAATGATTTTGGATGGGTACTTGCTAATCTATAGCCAGTATATTTTTGATGGACCACCAAAGATTGACCATGTCATTTGCACCAACTGAAGTAACTTAGCTATCTCTTGGATACCCGTGGTTTTTCGATGCCACCTTGCCTCGCTCCCTTGCCGCTGAGATGTGACAAGACCTCGCAGATTTGCGAATGAGCCCGTCACCGAGCCAGCCTCTTGGAGTGACGGGTTGCAATTTTTCGGACCCGGGGAGCTTCCAAATCATGGTGGATTTTGGCGGAAAAGCACCATGTTTCGCATATTTTTTGATAGGTCCCCAGTTTTAAGAAGCACCCAAGGAAGAAATGGATAGGAAGAAATGGATAGGAATGGTGATGTTTGGTCGCTGTGTGGTTTGAAGCCACCTTGTCACCACAACAGCCCCATTGGATCGAACACAACCCCTGAAGATACAGATATTCAAGTCGGCCCTTGAACATGCTGTCTCCAAGCGTTTCCATCAAATTTCATCAAATTAAAGGGGGATTTTGGGTATCTGATTTTGAAACAGATTGATGAACTCCGCTGGGACACATGCCACATCTGAGGCTCGGCCGCGGTGAAAGCGCCACAGATCTGAACCAAAAAACGATGATGGAAAAATCCGGGAGAGTGTGGATGCTGGAAGGATAGCTAGTCACCAAGGGAACAACCCGCATTCAGCGGCTGACAACATACTGTCGATATGGAAGGCAACCATCGCTTCACCCCCCCAAAAAAACATGCCAGTACATTCCTGGTGTTTTTTTCTATGGAATGTCCATGTTTTTTTGTATCTATGGAATGTCCATCCGATACAGGATACAGAAGCCCAAAAGAAGCTAAAGAAGTATATAATTCATGATTATTCAAACTGTTTGATTATGATTTTAAGTTTCTATCTTTTGTAAGTTGCTATATATGTTAAGTACAGTCATGATTTTTCTGCCGTCCATGCAATGCCTAGCACCAGCTGGTGCTTTGTGCTGCCCTGGCTGGATGCGGCTGGTGGTTTTGCTCCACTGGGAGACTACTGTCCGCCTGAGAAGCTCTTGGAGAGTTGCTCTATTGCCAATGCACAAGAGGACTACCGGAATCTACCGAAGAGTTCCAAAGGGGAAGAAACAGAAACATGAAGAAACAATCATGGATCATGGATGGTTGCGAAATCCTGAACCAGTTAAGGTAGCTTGTAAACATCCCTTAAAACATCTCATTATATATCTATAGAGTTTTTGATAATTAGTTGCCAATAGTTACCAATAGTTACTGGTGCAGGATTTCTTCCATCCACAATATGGGCCATGGTAAAAGCTGGGGCATGCTAGAGGATAGTCATAGTGACGTCATACCGTACACCCCAAAGATTCAGGATTTACATACCCAAACATAGGAAATCCCCAAAAATAACCGGACGTTTTGACCATGGCTCATAGATGTAGGAGTCAGAATTGGGCTAGCAAGAAACTCACAGTTGGCCGTTTCATACTCAGTATTCAATCATCCCGTTTTGGCGGTTGTTCGTTCTGGCCATCCAATGATAGGATAATTTTAAGGCTACCACTCAGCTCAATTCACCCAGACTCCATAAGTAAGTATAGATAGCTTGTTTCGCAAAGTGCTTTACATGACTGCATAAGGGGTCATGGGTTGGTCTTGTTTTTGGGAGACTCAAAGTGGAACATCTACAGTACCATATCACGCTTGGAATCTTTTGGAATATTCATCTACACTTTTGAAATCCTTTGAACATGATTGAACATATGAGGATGCTGGTGTTCCAGAGATGTACAGAGTATTTTAATTGGCGTTGATGGTTTCTTCTTAGCAGAAGGTTGACCGGATATTTTGCAAAACTTTGTCTACCTTGCCAAAGGGCCGCATGATTGGCTGTGGCTGCAAGTGCTGACATTTTCACGATGGACCAGCAATTTCTTGGTTCAAACCTTTCAAAGCCACTTTGTTTGCGCTATTTCTTGGACATGTCACAGATGAACTTGTTCATCTTTGCCCTCTTCACCGTCTTCCTCTCAGCGGAAGGATTGCGCCATGAAGACGAGGACCCTGCAATAGAAACACTCTTATATAATTATATTATATATAATTATATTGTGTTTTTGGAAAAGAAACGTGTGGGGGCGTTGTAAAACGTCATCATGTAAGAATCATGTATACAGCTTCAATTGTCCGATGACCCCTCTATCAACTCACCAGCGGGATGGACAGTCAGAATCATTGGTTGGTAAGAAAACATGATAAAGACCGCTTTCTGTAACCCCCAGCTTTCAAAACAAGGTCAGAATGTAAGACGTAAGACATTGTCAAAACCGGAAAATCGCAACATTTGTCTCATTTCTATACTGATAGATCATCCCACTGAAAATACCACCATTGGCACCGCGAATTTTTGTTTGTTCCAACAAGTCGTGCTCCGCTCCTTGAGCTTTGCCTTCCAATAGAATTTTGGCATACTGCAAAGCTGCAAGAGGTACTCCCGCCTCGGCAAGGAGTCGTGGGAACGCCCAACTTTTCGTCCAGGGGTTTCCAGCAGCAAAGGCTTTAAAAAAGAACACCTCTCGTCCATCCGCGACATCATCAGTGGCTGCTACAAGGATCTCGAGAAGATCGATCAGTACTGTCATCTGTGTCAGTTTCAAGATTGCATCGCGAAAGAGGGCAATGAGAAGTTCGCTTGGCCGCTCCATGTCATCGTCTCATACACCAGGAATGACCGCACGGTCGTAGGTGATTGTGATGCAAAATACATCTACGGTGACTACGGTGTTTGGGTCGGCGCCAATTGCAAGGAGACTAAAAAATCTAGCAAGTGGGGCTGGTGACTTGGACTAGTGACTTGGCTTAGCAGGGTTTCGGCTTCCACAATAGAGCCCGTCTTGGACTGGCCTGCGCATACGCATGCATACGCATACATGAACGGCTTCAAATACGCAAAAACAAAGGCTTTTCTTATGTTTATAAGGTCTTTTACGTAAGTAAGGTCAAAATAAGGTCTTATTTGATCTTATTTGCACAAAATAATGTCCTATATGTTTCTCCCGACATAAAGCATAAACCATTCACATGTACAACATGTGTTTACATTATTGTTTGCGTTTTGCTCATGTGTATGTTGATGTTTTTCTTTAAGCGCGGTCCAACATAAGACCTTATTGTTTGTGCAATCTGCAGAAAATAAGGTTCCATTTCTTCTCCGGCATAAAACATGACTTAGCTTGATCCAAAGGGGCTCCAGGGATGGTTTCTATAGAGGGTGGACGGGGCATGACGTAAACATAAACTTTGTCTAGGCGTAAGTAAAAACGTATGTGAAACATAAACGAAACATATGTGAAACGTATATGAAACATATGTCAAACATAAGACAAAACATATGTGGAACGCAAACGAAACATAAATGGAATATAATTGAAACATAAGTGACACATAAAGCAAAACATGTGTGTGAAATTTGCAACATATGTGAAACATGAGTTGGCCGTCCCCCCTGTGTCAAGCAGTTGCCAATTTGAAATCCAAACCTGGTACAAACCTGCAGCCAATGTGAAACTGATGTCTCCCACATGTTTCACATATGTCTGACATACGTTTTGTTTGCGCAGCACTTGCGTCAGGCAAAAGTCTAAGATCTTATTCTGGGAAAATAAGATCTTAGGATTTTGACATACATAAAAAAACACAAGCGAAACACAAACAAAACATAAACAAAACACAAATGTAGCATAAACTTGTTTATGTTTTTTTGTGTTCTGTTTATGTTTTGGTTTATTTTTTGTTTATGTTTGATTTGTTTTTTTGTCGATGATTTGCGTATGGCCTTATTTTTATGTTTTTTTGTGCTTTTTTTATGCTTGTTTGCACAAAAAAACACCAAAAAAAAACATAAAAATAAGGCCTTACGCAAATAATTGACACAAAAAACACAAACAAAACATAAACCAAAACATAAACAGAACACAAAAAAAAACATAAACAAGTTTATGCTACATTTGTGTTTTGTTTATGTTGTGTTTGTGTTTCGCTTGTATTTTTTTATGTATGTCAAAATCCTAAGATCTTATTTTCCCAGAATAAGATCTTAGACTTTTGCCTGACGCAAGTGCTGCGCAAACAAAGCGTATGTCAAACACAAGTGAAACACAGAGCAAACATTGTGTCACATAACTCCGCTCACCTCCAGAGAAGATGGAAACACGTGCGCGACAGTTGGGACACATGACTGCCAGAATGGTTTGTGGATTCATTTGTGTTTTGTTGATGAGTCGTTTTATGTTTTATTGTGGATTCACTTGCGTTCTGTTTATGATGAGTTTCCGATGTGTTTATGATTCACTTGTGTTTGCTTTTATGTTGCGTTTACGTTGTTTTATGTTGGTTCTTTACGTCTTTGGTTTATGTAAGGCTCTTAGCCTCAGATCTGGTTCCTATAGACGAAGCCCTTTGGGTTTACCTAAAACATGACATAGACTTGCAAACATATACGTAAGTAAAAAATAACATAGCGCAATGCGGTTGCAAATTAAATTAATGTTTCACATTAATGTGAAACATTAATTTAATTTGCAACCGCATTGCGCTATGTGTCGCATGTGTTTCACGTACGGCTCACATATGTTGCACTTACGCTGCAAATACGCTTCACATACGTTTCACAAACGTAAACATGTATGTTTCATATGCGTTTGGCGCGCAAATCACATATGTTTCATTTGCGTTGTATGTTTTGCATGCGCGGCCACTTAGAATATTAGTATACGTACCCCCTCGATCCCGCTCATCAGGCTCCTATAGAGGGAAAATCGAGGCTCCTGAGATGCAAGTGAGACTTGGCCCTGCTGCACAACCATTGGCAGGTAGCTTGTGAGAAAATGACACATGGCTGCCTGTGCGGGTTGGAACTGTAGGGCTGGGGACTGGGGAAAATGATGATAAGCAACACACTGGGAATTTGAAGGTGTACGACCTAGGAGAAGCATGACAGTGCTGTTTTTTTTTTCCATGGAGCCCTCTGATATCCTCTGACTACAAGCCAACCAGGTCCTTCTATCGCGGATTTTCCCATGTTTGCCAACCAGGTGTTTCTTGGTGCTAAAATAGATGTAAAGTCAATCCTTGGAAGCTCAAAATAGCTGTATATATATATAAGTACTATATACTTATATAATCTTATATGTACATATATATATATACATATCTAATAAATATATATCTCATATTATATACGTAAGGTATACACCAAACCAATGTGTTGAATACTGTCGCCCTTTTTTTAACTGTTGAGGGTCAAGCCAAGAGAGCCAAAATTGGATGGTTGTGGGATGGTAGATACAAAAAGACAGGAACAGTTCTGGTGAGTCTTGACCATTATATTCAATTCGGACCCGTGCCCAAGAAATGTTGATTTTCCAAACACTCCCAAATTGAGGAAGTGAGACGATTGAGCTGTTTTTTTCGTTTGTTTGTTTTTTTTTAAATATAGTTTTGTTTTGTGAATTGTTTGAGATGAAACCCGAATGTTGGTTGTGCTCTCTTTTTTGGGTGTTTCTGGCGACCCCTTTTCGCCTCAAACTTCCGGATTGTTGGAGTTGGTTCAAACTGTAAAAAGACAGCAAGAGTCTCTTACGGAGGCCGGTGCGCCAACTGAGAGTCAACCAACTTGATATGACATATATAGATTATATTATATGCATTAATAGAAATGTATATATATATATATATCTGACTGAACATATATATATATATGGATTCTGAGGCCTATTTAGATGACACTGATACTGATTACACAAAACACTCAGGGTATCTCAGACTCAGATTGAGCAAAACATTCCAAATTTTACCGTGGTATTCCTCAACACCCTACAGGACAACAGTTGATGAAGAATGTTATGGGCGGTGCCCACTACCTACCTATATTCTACCTATATATAAGTTAGTTTAGTTCAGTAGATAACACTGTTGGATTTATGCTGCTAGATAGATTGAACTAGTTGATGGTGTGATACCAAACTTTCTAATCCATACTAATTAAACACAACTCCTTGGTTGACAAGTCAACAAGTACAATAGATAAACTAGGATTCATGGTAGATATATCTACAGTGGATGTGATTGGTGTTTCAACACCAAAACGACCAACACTACATGAATCCTACCACATTCATTGACTGTAAATATATCAATATAGAATATTCATTGGTACATTGGTACAGTCAATGGATGTTTCAACACCAACAAAACGAACAGCGGGGGCGCCACCAAAAGTACAACGGCCCTGCTGCGCTTTTCGCAAAGATGCTGCGCAGTCAGCAGTTGAGCGCCATGTTGTTGGGTGGCCCAGTAGCAGTGCCGACCACGCCCCAAGAACATGCACCAATACTCGAGGTTTTGGAGAAAGTGGGGATATTTAAGGCATTTAAGGAGGGTTAAACCCTATCTTCATAATGGCACATCTCCATAAATTGATAAATATATATATAAATGGGATGTTTCAGGAGGGTTTTAGATACATCTTTTAGCCATAAAATTGTATATCCTTAAGTAAATTCACCTAGACTCTCCAAATACCTCAAGAAAACTAGTAAAAGCACTAAGATCAAGGGGCACACCACCTTTTTGAAGGATACTTGGAGGATGTACATGCCGAATGACCAGTGAACTTCAGGGGAACTATGTTTTCAGACAGACCCACATGCCAGGATTGTGGGAATATCATCCCAAAAAACAAGTTTTGTGCACATATATACATATATTTATATACATATATTTTTACATATAAATAGATGAACATAGATTTTTTAGCAACACCCAAAAAGATAGGAACACAGCTTACCATCATCTTGGCACGGACCAGGTTTTCTTTGGATGCCTCCAATGGATTTTCGAAAATCGAAGCCGTGGATTCCAAGAAATAACCTACAGCAACTCCCAGATAGAACCCTTGGTTACTAGGAATATATATATATATATATATGCACACATGATTATATATATATATGTGATTATATATATATAGATGATTATATATATATATATATCAACGGCCTCCCATTGGTGGTGGTTCTATGCCTGTGAATCCTGTGAAAGGCGAAAAAACAACACGCAAATGACACGCATACCAACCCAATGGTTTCCCGTGGCTCTCACTAAACGGCTTCCCATTGGTGTTGTTCTCTTATGGAGACAGAAAGACCCGACTCACCTTTACGTACGACATCACAAGGATGACCAAAATCTACCTGACAATGACATGGTACTTTTTAGAAAATGGGGCAGCCTTTTGGGGGTGCTGATAGTAAACATCATATTTACATATCATGTAATTATATGCCTATATACTAAACATGTCTAAATATTGTATATCTCCCATCTTGGAAGTACAGCCCGAGAGTTGGTTAAGAATCCGAAAGCTTGAGGCCAGGGTCCCTCAAATTCTTATGTTTAAATGCAGTCAAATTTCCACCACAATAGGTCGAGGGTCCCTCAAATTCTTAGAGCATTCTTATGTGATGGCCCACCAGGTGTGTCCGGGTTAAGTTTCAACACATTAGCTAGTTTCATATCTACCATAAATCCAACAGTAAATCTACGGAATGAAATCCACTGAGCTCACGAACTGGTCCACCATTGTTGATGGTTAAATAGTGAAGTTCCTTGTGTTTTTTTAAATGTTTTTATCCCCATTAATTAATAAGTACCCAAGAAAAGGATCACAACAATTTACCACATATTCTATCTGACTTTTCGGGTTGTCATATTTATTCTGCGGTGAATTCCTGATGTTTTCTAGATAAGTCCCTATTGTTGATGGTTATATCCCTATCAAATCTCTTTTTTTCTTTGTAAAACAGATCGTATAAGTCATCTGAAATCCAGAACATCTTCATACAACCCATAAAAAAAATCTAGAAAATCTAGAATCCCTATCAAAATCTCTAGAAAATTCCTATCAAATCCATTGCGCCTTGTTTCGGCCGCCCTTGCCGTTCCCCGAGATCGGGCGACGTCATTGTGGATGACCCTCTGCTGCTTCAGGGCATCGCCAGGTTGAGACCCCTGCGTTTTCAATGGGAAAAAGGTGGGAAAAGATGCGAATATCCCAAGGAACATCATGTGTAATATATATATATATGTGTGTGTGCGTAATACATATATCATATTGTGTATATATATATACGCACACATATAATGATGTATTTTTTTACTTTGCGGATGCATCATGCGACAATTCATTGATAGAAAGCATATATGTTATTTGCTGGAGGGTCATGGGAAAATCGTTCACAATACTGGGAAAATGATGTGTGCAACAAATGCCGTTGGGTCAACATGATTGACCCCCCCAAAAGCGATGCTTTACTGCAGACTTTTCTGGCAGACCTTAAGGTTCCAAGAAATGGCCAAGAGAAGAAGGGTCCACCCTGAACCCCGGCTGGCCACAAGTGGCCACGGCCGAGCTATTGATAATGTGTCCATTGTTGTGAGAGAAGAGAAAGAACAACACAGATTCATCAAGGAACAATGGCCGAAATTTGGATTGACACGTTCATTGAGACCTTCCTAAAACATGCTAAAGCCATTTAATGAAAGAAAATGCAGAAAGCACCAGTGATCTCACTTGCATAAAAGGACGTACTGCTTTGAGGTTTTCCAAAATTAGGGTTACTGGTTGGTCAATCAATCATTTCATGGTTGGTTACATCGCATTGATATATCCCATTCTTATTCCATGAATATCCCATTGTACAATATCCCATTATGTAACATCTCATTATATATAATATCCCATTATATAATATGACATTCATATCCCATTGTATAACATGCGATGAATACCCTCTGGTAATTTAACATAGCTATTGAAAATGGCCATTTATAGTGAATTGTCCCATTAAACATTGTGATTTTCCATAGTTAATTTAGTTTACCAGGGTACTTGGTGGTTCACCCCCACTTAGTAAGTAGGTTATACCGCTGGTTATAACTGGGCTAAGTAGGGTAAATCCACTTATAACTGATGAATATTCCCATTGATCTCAACTAACTTATGATTCCAGCTATGCAACTCGAACTCGGAGGCGAAAGAGCCTGGAGATCATGGAGCATTTGGAGGCAGCTTGACGTGGAGGGAAGTGGCAGCTGTTTGATGGGATTTACTGGGATTTAATGGGAATTAATGGGAATATGTGATATAAGCATATATGATACCCTCTGGTAAACTGACAGTTTGCCATGGAAAATGGCAATAGAAATAGTTGATTTACCTGTTAAACATGGTGATTTTCCATATCTACGTCAAATTATCAGAGGGTAATGTTGCATCCTGATTTGCTGGTATCCCCAACAAACCGTATCTCTTCTATAATGAAGGAGTTCATCAAAAAGATGTCCCCAGACAAGATACAATCATGGTACAACATTCAGTTCGTATATTGCGGGAATACATTTATACCAGTTAATACCTAGACCATCCTAGACCCTCGAAGTACCCCCAAAAATTGTAAAAATATTTGAATGAGAGATAAACATACTATGTGTGTATATTGTGTCTAAATATTGTATAGATTGTATAGACAATGCAAAAAATGCTTTATTTGATATAAAAGACAAGTTTAGGCGTACATACTATCTGTATATATACATACACACAGGTATAGCATATACACATGCGAACACATACAGGTTTGTTCTGCCCTGTTTTGGTGATGCTGTTCACATCACAATTGGCAGCGCCTATCTTGGGTTGAAGTGCAAGCTGAACTTTACCAGCATGATGGTTGAGGAATTGTTGATCAATCAAGTCACGTGATAGTTCCAAAATCAATCAAAACCACATCTGATTGGTGGTTTCAAACATGACTTTTATTTTCCA